TGCACCTCTTCCATCTGGCGGTTCCTAAGTTATATCCTTTCATAATACACTGGTGATCTAGTAACTGAAATGTTTCTCCAAGTTACGTGAGCCACTCCAGCAGATTAATTGAACTCAAGGAAGGGATCTTGGGAACCTCTGATCTACAGCACAGGTGACAAGGTGGACTTGCAGTTGGTGTCTGAAGTGTGGGGTGGGGGACAGTCTTGTACTGTGCTCTTATCCTGTGGGATCTGCCCCTATCTCCAGGTTAATTGCTTGGTAGTGTTGAAAAATACTCCTTGGACATTCAGTGTCCTCCCCCCCTCCTCATTGGACATCTTTATCGAGTCAAATAACATTCATCCAATATCCTTTTAAAACATCTTTTAATAAGCTGCTTAAATATCTAGAGTCAGGTTCTGTTGTTTGTTCATGATCATCAAGTGACATGGCATTTCCTTTGGGATGTTTTGTTCCCTTTCTATTATCATAGTTAAGTTACTCATCAGTCTCTCTTACTTCATGTGTTCAATTGCATTTCTCTGACACCGTTCATCACACCTATGACATATTTTTAAAACAGGGAATATCATAAAAATGGCTTAAGTCAACATTAAAGTAGCCTCTCTTTTAAGGCCCTCCACCCAACTGACCTAGCTGATGCCCATAGCCTTAGCTCTGTGGCAAGCTGGCTGCTCTGCTGTGCTTGAGATGTTTGATCAGAGCTGTTTATGCCTGTCATACTTAGTGCTTAACCCACGTCTAATCTGACACCTAAGCAATCTGAAGTTCTTCGTTCTCATTAAGTGTTTCCAAAGCATTCACCTTAGTTCTCACAGAAACAATTTTTATGCTTAAAATTTTTTAATCAAAATGTGTAATTAGATAAATGCAAATGGAAATGTCACAGGGAAATGTACCAATCGGGAAACCCCTTCTTGAAGGCTGTACCTGCCTAATGTCATGTGATATAACATAGGGAACCGCATGCCTCGGAGTTAAAGGCTAAGGTGTCACCAGGAGAAAGACTGAAGGCCAGCTGAGGAGCCTGGAAGTTGACAGATACAGACAGCAAAGGAACGAAGAGGCTGATTCCAAACCATAGCAAGAAATGAAGGAGCTTCTGGGTTTTTTGTTGTCTTTTTTCTTTTTTTCTTTTTTTCTTTTTGAAATCTGAGGTCTCAAGATGCCTTGAACATTAAGTCATTTTGATTAGACATCTTGTGTAAAAGTGGACTGGGGTGAATTCAAGACACAGCAAGACATGGATAGTGTCTTCAAATGGTATTTTTTAAGATAAATCTAATCTTGCCTTGTTAGCATTCAAAACTCAACCTAAGTCCCACCATACAGGGCTGGAGCACTGTGAACAAAGGTCGAGGGCCTAAGAGAGACGGAGAGAGAATGAACACTCTTGGGAAGTTCTTTCTAGCCGGAAAGTAAATACCCGCCAACAATGGAGCTAAAGGCAGCGTGGCGGTGTGTTACCAAGCGCAGCGGACTCAGCATGAAGTGCTCCAATTCACAAGGAGCCTGGGGAGGAGCCCCGGTGTACTTCACCTGCAGCCGTACATTTGGAGGAAAATCAGTTGAAATGTTGTTTTTCTCATTCTAAAGTTTACCTTTGGTTTTGAAGGACCCCATAGCTTCTCAGGCCATTGAGGCAAAGCCCACTTGTTTTCACTGTGAGGTCACAGGAACTAACTCCCGTGGTTCTCAGAAACACATGGAATAAGGTTGCCTTTGTCAGCAAACTATTAGAAATCGACGGTTGATTAACCCCCGCTGCAGGTCTGATGTTTAACTTCCTGCAGTAAACATTTGCAGGTCACAGCAGTGACCCTGTTTAGGATCTTCATATCTCTTCCGGTGCAGGGGTAAAGGTATTCATGGCAAACTGCACATTTGATCAAGGTACGGTATCAGCTCCCTGTGTTCGAAGAGTTAAAAGTGAATTACACGTATCAATGAAATCAGCCTCTTAGATTCTAATGTATAAATTCCATAATCATTTCAAGAAAAAAAAATTACAACGTCACAATTTCAGTATGAAACCGTGACTTTTGAAATGGAAAAGTTTGCAGCAAGAAAACTACAAAATGTTTTCAAAAACATTTTTAAGTTTGTTAAGTTTCTAGGACGCGGTGGGAATTGAATCATTCTAGTAGTTGCTAGATCTCTGGAAATAATCACCCGCTGGGAGGTGAACACCTCTCAACCAGTTAGTGCCCAGCTCTAGGCCATTGTTTGTTGGTAAAGGGGCTATTCATTCATAATGTTGGACTCTCTCAGCCAAACAAAGACTCTTGGTGAGTGTTCAGGTGGATTCCAAGCCAAGAAAAAGGGATTGCCTCATTTCCTCAAGACAACCTTTGATCAGTGCTGTGTGGCCAAGCTAAAAAGTTAGATGGAACTTTAAACAACGATTTAATGGCGTTTCGGCAGCCACCACCATACATCCTCCACTAAGGAAGCAAAGTAACAAGAGAGATGGGGTCAGATAGGAACTTATTATGGAAATTCGCCTCCATTACTACAATATGCACAGAACTCTTTCGGCACCTGTCAAGGCTGATGAGTATTTTACAAGTAATTATAAATTATTCACTTTGGCAAATCTGAGGATGTGATATGGGTTTTATTCACAACTGTCAAGACTTGACTATAACAACACGGGGTGGAGTTTACAGGATGCTGGGGTACAACGAAGACCGAAAAAGCCCCTGTTCCTAGGGACCTTATATTCTAGTAGTAGACACAGACCTTAACCATCTTTTTAAAATATTGTGTTAAGCATTGTGATTTGTGTTTTGAAGGAAATGGGATATTGAGGAGAAAATAACAGTGGGGAGCTAATTAAATAGTGTGGTCGCAGAAGTCCCCTCTGAGTTGGAGACTTTTAACTTGAGACCCAAAACACAAAAGAAGCCATCTATGGGAGACCTGGTAGGAGGAACAACGCTGGCAGGGCATTGCATGGGCTAAGGCCCCACAAAGCAAAGGTCTGGCAGTTATAAAAGAACCCACAGAAGGCCCGTGTGACGAAGCATCAGGACCAGGGGAGAGTGGCATGAAATGAGCCCAGAGAGATCCGTGGGCACAGGTTCTGGAGGGAAGCTTTTCTCAAAATTTTTGACCGTAACGCATAGTAAGAAATTCATTTTGCATATCATTCAGCGCTATTCACAAAACATTTACGCAAGACCAGGGAATTCCACGTCTGGCTCCAGACATGGTTACTTCACTGTGTCTTCCAGCGGGGCTGTGCCTAAGCATTCACACACTGAAATAATAATACTTCCCTTTTATTTCTTTATGTTACCGTGAGGATATTATGTTGATTAAAATATGTATCAGTCAGTAATACTCACTATGAATTTAATTTGAGAATAAAGGGTATATGGTCAAAAAGCATCATAAAATGGGGGCGTTAGGTCTAACGGGGTTGAGAATCACTGTTTCATCCAATACTAAAGAATTTCTGTTATCTCCACTTAACTCAGAATAGAAACACTGGTAAAGCTATTCTCAGCTGCTTGGATTAGCTCACTGAATACACAATCTCTCATGGATCCATGCCAATTGATAAATCCAGCCCAACCTAACGTTATGTTCCTGCCTCCTGACCTAACAGCCTTAGAATTCATCACCACACATATTCATGGCCACAGTACTTCAGACAATATCAATTAGCACTGAGAAGCAGCCTCACAGTCTGACAGATTTAACTCCTGTACCCCCACCTCTCCCTCCCACTTAAGATGTATTGCAGCAGATACGACATCTGCTAAGACCCTACTTTCAGTAGGCATTTCCTTCATGGTCATTGCAAGTGGTAATTTAAATGTTTCATCATGGTGTTTGGTCTACCAGTGTCCCATCCTTTCCTCATGATGGTTTTCTTATTCTGTTTCATAAAGGACATGTCGTCTTGCATGTTATGGAAAAGGTAAAAAAAATAGAAATTTCCCTCTGAATAGTGCTCTAGATGATTTTTCAGAATTAGGTTTTACCCACTCCCACACCCCCACCCCATTGGGTTATCAGTCAACAAATATTTATGGAGAATGTATTACATGCAGGGCCAGCAGTTCTCAACCTGTGGGTCACTACCCCTTTGGGGGTCGAAAGACCTTTTCACAGGGGTCACCTAAGACCATTGGAAAACACATATATAATTACATATTGTTTTTGTGATTAATCACTATGCTTTAATTATGTTCAATTTATAACAATGAAAATACATCCTGCATATCAGATATTTATGTTATGATTCATAACAGGAGCAAAATTACAGTTATGAAGTAGCAACGAAAATAATTTTATGGTTGGGGGTCACCACAACATGAGGAGCTGTATTAAAGGGTCGCGGCATGAGGAAGGTTGAGGACCACTGTGCTAGGCATTAGGTAGTTGTCAGGGCTATAAGACTGGCATTGTCCCTGCTCCCATGACATGTTAAAGATACTCTTCCCTTTCTCTTGTTCTGCAAAACTTTTTCATGGCCCGCACTTAGTTTTTATCTCTTAGTAATTATTCATGTATTCCTTATTTCTTTATGAGATGAAATCTTTGTGTGTGTGTGTATATATATATTAGAGGCCTGGTGCACGACATTCATGCAGGGGGGGCCCTCAGCCCGGCCTGCGCCCTCTCACAGTCCAGGGTGCCTCGAGGGATGTCCGACTGCCGGCGGGGAGCGGGCCTAAGCTGGCAGTTGGACATTCCCTGAGGGGTCCTTAGTGCTGCTGCCACCACTGCTGCGCTCATCAGCCATGAGCCAGACTTCTGGCTGAGCAGCGCTCCCCCTGTGGGAGTGCACTGACCACCAGGGGGCAGCTCCTGCATTGAGCATCTGCCCCCTGGTGGTCAGTGTGTGTCATAGCACCGGTCATTCTGTCGTTCGGTCGATTTGCATATTAGGGTTTTATTGTATAGGATATATACTTTTCTTATTTCAAAGAGGAAAGGAGAGGGAGAGAGTGATAGAAACATCTATGATGAGAGAGAATCATTGATAGGCTGCCTCTTGCATGTCCCACACTGGGGATTGAGCTCACAACCCAGGCATGTGCTCTGACTGGGAATTGAACCATGACCTCCTGGTTCATAGGTCGATGCTCAACCTCTAAGCCATGCTGGCCCAGCATGAGATGAAATCTTTACAGATTTTATACTTGCCTTTGTCAACAACAGTGACAGTTTAGTAGATCTTTTTATCTGATTCTGGCTTGTCCCTAAATGTCTGCTAATTTAATTCAAAGAGTATGTATCTACTGCATACAAAACACTGTGCTAAGAGGTGTGGCTAATAATAATAATGATAAAATAATAATAGCTAGCACTTAATGTTTAATGAGTGCCGATCACTTTTAAGTACTTTGCATGCATAGCTTGTTTGGTTCTCAGCCGCTTTATGAAATGAGGAAACTGAGGCATTAAGGGGCTTAGAAGCTTGCTCAAGGTCACACATAAGTAATTAAATACAGGTAGTCCACATCCAGGCCAACTCTCTTAACCACTTCTTTGGGGTAAATAAGATACTAAGCTGAAAAATATGACTTCAAACACCTTGCTATCAAGAGGGAAGCTTTGAAATGATTATAACTTATTATTGGTTGAAAAAAGTCAATCAAGATTCTTGAAATTTTTTGGAACAGCAGCTATCTCAGGTAACTTTTCTATTGTTTTTTGTTTTTTTTTTACTTTAGTGTTTCACTTGACCATTCATGAAATTGTACTTCTTTGTGTTGACTTAGATCTTATTATTTGTCTTCCCTAGTACAATGAAGAATTCCTTGAAGGTAGGAGCCATATATTATTTCTCTCTTTATCTTTGGCACCTAACATATAATGGAGAATCACTAAATATAAGGACTAAATAAATGGTTATATTAAAAACAAATAGCAGTAATTATTCATACTTAGTATTTATAAATAAATTTCACCCAAGGGCACAACAGTGTTTCAAAGCCTTTAATTGAATAAATCACAATCATATTCTCATAGGAGAGTTAAATATTACAGTATTATCCTGTTTCACAGTCAAGGGCTTAATTGTCAAAAGGTCAAGTGGCTTACCACAAGTTATGAAGTCAGTCAGGAGAGGAAACAACAGAACCTAAGACTTTCTTTTCTTATTACAAAAAAATGATTCCCCCAAAGTTAAATGAATGCCCACACGAATACACACACAAAATCATAACAAACTTTATCAAAACCAAGCAATATTGAAACACAAACATTAACTTATGTTAACTTTGAGTAAGTTATTTTGAAAAGCAATTACAGAGATCATGTTCAAAAACTTCTTTCCACACTATTTTTGTTCTCTGCACATTATTTTAGAAGTAAGGGCTGTATCCTCCCAGGAGATCTAGAGGGCGGATATGAGATAAGCCACAGATGAGTGGACTTGTTTTGGCTGGAGTGAGGAAGTGTGGTGCTCCAGATGCTTCCACGCTCCAGGCACATCGGATCCCGGAGGCAGTAGAAACTGGACCAAGACTCAAAGAAAGGGGTGGTTTTAGCTAAAAACAAAATCTACTCCTTCCGTGTTTCCATAGACTAGGACTTTTTTAAAAGGAAAATATTATTACAACATGTGTATAGATTAGTTGTTGGCGAACAAACTCTGACAAAGGATGATTCTAGAGTCTTGAGTTTCTACACGTAGAAACAGTTAGTTTTACTCTTAAATGTGTTCCGATGGCTGTTTTCCCTGCATCTGTTCATGGCTTCACTGTCTATTGAACAGAGCAGGTTAAAAACCTCAAATTCGTCCTCCACAGCTCCTCCCCCGTCACTCTCCCATGTCACTTTCCAAGTCCTGCCCATTTTATCTCCTAAGTAGATACATCTCCCTTGCATCTTCCAAGGTTGAGCCTCATCACCTCTCTCGTGGACTATATGACAGTCTCCTTGATGCTTTTCCTACCTTCAGTCTCTCCTCTTTCTAGTCGTTTTTCCTCACCAAGCTGATAAACTTACTTGTCTAAAAACCAGTGGCCTGCAGATCAGAATCCAGCCTCCTTAGAGTATTCATGCCTTCCCCAATTTTTATAACTTACCTTATTTTCTTCTACTTCCCCAAAACCCTCTATTTTAATTACTAGTTTCTTCTTGCCGTTTCCCAGGCACCTCCGGCATCTCGAGCTCCTCCGTGTTTGTGTCCTCGCACATGATGCTCCCTCCGGCTGCAGAATCCTTCCTCTGGATTCATCTCAAGGCCACCTCCTCGACTTCCTTCAGATCCAGCATAGACATGGCCTCCCTCTGAACGATTTCCTGACTCTCCCATATAATTCATTGCTCTCATTTCATGTCTGTGGCAGAAACCTTGCTCCTCACTGAATAGCCTTTTGATGCCCACATTCCCAACTCCCTTCTAACGAGGTAAGGCCGTGTGACTTTGAGCGGAAGTGAGATGTGCCAGTTCTGATCCCAAACACTTAAGAGTTGGTGCATGACCTTCCAACTCTTTCTTCTGCTGTTGGCCATTATGGAGACGGCAACACCACAAGATAGAAATGGCCTGGACATACCACATGGAGGGAGATGCTCTGGGAAGCCCTTGAACCTGCATCAGACTTCGTATAAGCGCAGTGTCAACTCTTGTTGGCTGAGTCACTGAGCTTTGTCTGGTGTTTATTCGTTACCACATTATAACTTCACCCATCCCGACTAGGCAAACATTCTGCATATCTCTACTTAGCCTTTTATTATGCTGAATTATGAGAACGTGTTCATTATTTTTCTCTTACACTGTGAACCCCTGGGTCAGACACTATGCTTTATTTTTCATTTAACCGAGTGCTGTAACCCAAACCGGACTTGTTGGAAATTGAACTCAGCATCTTCAAACTTTACCCCCCAAAGCTGTTCAGCTTCCAGTGTTTCCTGTCTCAGGAAATGACATCACCATTAACCCAGTCATGCAATCCAGAATCGGGAAGTATTTTTCTTAGTCTTCTTAATCTTGCTAAGAAATGCCTAGAAGGTACTTGTCCACCTCCAAATATGTCTTCAGTTTGCCATGTTTCTCCATCCTCTTGTCCCTTATTATCTGTCTCTTGTTGGGATGATAGGCACCAGCTTTCTAAGTGACCCTCTTCCATTGCTCCTTTGCCGTTCATTGTTCATCTGCAGTAAAAGAAAGATGTTTTAAAATTCGCAACTACGATCATATTACTTCCAGGCTTAAATAACTTTGTTATTTTTTAATATTCCCATCAATCACTTCCAATCGCATTTGCATTTCTTATATGCCATCTTTATCATAATTATTTTTTTAAAAAATTTGCCCTCCTTTTTTGGGTGTTTCGAGACACAATTTCCAACATAATAGGGGTTCCCCGCACTAACAAACAATTCTTGGGCACCAGCAGCATGCCCAAGAAGTCAACTCAATTCTGACACTGTGTACCCGGAGGTAGCATCAAATTCCACAGGTTGAAGGCTCAGTCCTCAAGGACTGCCTCCTCCGTCAGATGCCAGTGGCAAGGCCAGCCTGTTACCCATGCTTCTGACCTACCTGTTACATATTGGAGGTTCCCACAACCCCTTCTGGGACTTTAGACTCCAATCAGAAGCACCAGTTGTTTCCTGTACTTCTGACCAACTGGCTATAAATGAGAGGTTCCCACGCCCCCTCCTCAGGTTTTATTCATGTGCTAGAGTAGCTCACACTTCCATGCCCTCCCCAAGCACCACACTCCCAGCACCTCCACGTGTGCCGCAGCCCAGAAGCTCTTTAACCCTGTGCTTTCAGAGGCTGCATTGGGTAGGTGTGATGATTAAGTTGCTGACCACTGGTGATTGAACTTTCTCTCCAGCACCTCTCCCCTCTCCAGAGGTGGGGATGGAGGGACTGAATGTTCCAACCCTCTCATCACATGGTTGGTTCCACTGTCAACCAGTCCTCATGCTTGGCGCTTTCCAGCCACCTCATTCACATAATAAAAGACACCTTTATTGCTGTCAACACTTAGGTAATTCCAAAGGTTTTAGGAGCTGTGAGCCAGGGACTGTGGATGAAGACCAAATATTTATGAGAAATATACGTGTGTGTGTGTGTGTGTATCTTATAAATCACAATATTGCACCTCCCCTTGGATTTCAAGTGTGTTCACCTTGAAAGTGTGCTCTGCCTTGCCTATTCACTGCTATAGTTCTAGCTTCTGACACACAAAATGTGTCAGTAAAAAGTGCGTTGAATGAATAAATGAATTCACTCTGAAAATAGTAGATACACAATGGGTGTTTCTTGGGTAGATAAAAAGCCAACTACTCATGTACACTCAAGCAAATACGAATTTCATTACGGTCTGAAATGTTTTATCAGTCCAGATTTTAACTTCTAGTACCTTCTCCTCTTAGGCCAGCCCATAGCCTTTCGGCCTTTAAAATTCTAATCTGTGGTTCATTTATTCACTCTTTTTTGGGGGGCAATGAGGCTCTTTGCATATTAATTCTTATGCACTTGTATATTTGAGCTGCATAACATTTAAAAATTTGTGTTATTTTGTGAATGTGCTTGAATAATTTTTACACTTATGTACTCTTTCCTCTGGACTGGATTATAAACAAACTTAGAATCAAAACCTGAGCTCTCTTTTGAAACTTTTGCTTGCGCTCACCCTCCTGGTGCCTAGCATTGTGTTCTGCATAAGCGGATCACTTAATAACTAAGAGAGACTGGAGAACAGGCAAGGGTTAGCCTGCAGCGGTGGACGTGAGGAGCGCTCAGCAGATAGCTCACTGGAATGGACGCCTGGCTCTGCCTCAGGGTGGAAATGAACTTTAGGGCTGCCATCTAGGGCTTGGGTCAGAGATACAAGGTATCTGGTGTTCATTGTCTTAGTTTCCTTAGGCTCCATTCCAAGATGCATTTTTTCCAACTCCGGCAATTATATTTACTGGTCCCATGTTAAATATAAGACACCTTAAAATCAGCCAATGGAGAAGAAAATTCCGTTTCCCGAAGGTCCTTTCAAATTTATTGAAAACTTTCAATTCCTAAGATAAACTGCATTTATTCATTAGAAAATAATTAATATTAAGATCTAATTTATCTTTACTTTTTTTTTTTTTTATAACTTCCCTTCCATCTCTCATTGGTACCAATACTTAAAACAAAACCAAAACCCTTGGTTTTTAATTTCAGGTGAGCAGGACTATAAAAGACACCTCTGGCGGGAATGGGAACAGGTATACATATGAATTCATTCTCAGGGGGTCACTGATCATCACCCTGACTCTGTGTGTGCTGAGGGACTCCCCCTGGCTGTTCCGTAGCGCCAGTGTCTGTGTAATCATACATCTCAGATAAGGAAGTAAGACTGATCAGGAGGGCAGCTGATGACAATGGTTCTTTCACACACTCACCTGACATTTACATGATGTTTTAATAATGAGCTGTCTTAAGACGGAAGTTCCAGGGTAAGAAATACTCCAGTGTTTCAGAATAATGCAAAGCTCTCCTGTTCCTTAAAACAATCATATGCACACAATGAGGGGGAAGTACTGTAAATCTTAGTTCTTTTTTTTTTTTTTAAATATATTTTATTGATTTTTTTACAGAGAGGAAGGGAGAGAGATAGAGAGTTAGAAACATCGATGAGAGAGAAACATCGATCAGCTGCCTCCTGCACATCTCCTACTGGGGATGTGCCTGCAACCAAGGTACATGCCCTTGACCGGAATTGAACCTGGGACCTTTCAGTCCGCAGGCCGACGCTCTATCCACTGAGCCAAACCAGTTTCGGCTAAATCTTAGTTCTTCTATCTTCCATGAAAATGTTAGGATATTACACATGTTAGGTGAAGAATATTCATTCTGAAAACTACTAAATTAAATTTTAAATATCTAACATCATAAAACCTGGAACATACCTTAGAGCTACAAGCAGACAAGATTTTGGCATCTTGTGACTACATGAGCTTTGCTGAGTAACTAAAGAGGTCCTTTTTTTGGTATATTTTAGAGGTCAGTGAACATTAGATTGTGACAAACTTGGGCATATTGAGTTATAATGTGTTCCTATTTGGGATTTCCACAGCCAATTAAGAAAAAAAAAAAAAGCAGGCCCATCTTTAGTACACACAGAGTCATCATTTCTGAGATACAGCAGCTTCACTTTGTATCTACTCTGTGGCAACTGACACAAAGTGAAGGTAGTTTAACAGCTCAGGCTGCCTTCACCAATGTCATAGACTGGGTGTTTTAAACAACAGAAATTTATTTTCTCTATGTTCCAGAGTCCAAGATCCGGTGTTTGCAGTTTGGTAAGAGATCTTCCTGTCCTTGCAGATAACCAGCTTCTTGCTGTGTCCTCACATGGCTGAGAGAGAGAGAGGAAGAGGGAGGTAGGGAGAGAGAGAGAGAGAGCATATGCTCTCTGGTATCTCATATGGGCACTAATCCCATCAGACCAGGGCCCCACCATCATGACCTCATCTAACCCTAATTATCTCCCAGAAGTCTAATCTCCCAGTACCATCACATTGGGATTTCAACACATAGAGATATTTATGGGGAGGGGCACAAACATTCAGTCCATAAACATTTAAAGTGTGTTTTTTCTTTTTCTTTTTTAAAAATTTTTTTTATTGATTTCAGAGAGAGAGGGAGAGAGTGATAGAAACATCAATGATGAGAGGAAATCATTGATTGGCTGCCTCCTGCACGCTCCCCAACAGGGATTAAGCCCACAACCTGGGCATATGCCCTGACTGGGAATCAAACCCTGACCTCCTGGTTTATAGGTCAACGCTTAAACCCTGAACCACGCCAGCCAGGCAAAGTTTTTTGTTTGTTTGTTTTTTCCGTAAAGCACATCTGGCTTTTGGGAGTTGCCATGGTGCCTATTTCTGGAGTGTGTTCCTTTTCTTTTATTTACATTTTGTTGGTTTTTCTTCCCCAGATTTTAGCAATTTGCTTTGGCTTTCATGCTGTGCTGTGCTGAGAAGAGTTCTTAGGAAGTGGTTATTTTCTTTTTCTGCTTCGGACGCCAGCTCAGTGGACTATTTCCACTCACTTGCCTTGTGCAGGGATTATATTGTATTCCTGCTTTCTAGCTTCAAGTATTTTCTTTGCTGAAAGCTCGGTGATGTCACAGAGGTCCCTTGTATTCAGAATGTCCTTTCCACAACTCTTTCCAGAATGAGTGATCAATGCTTCCATTAGCACAAATGTTCAGATGCTATTAAAAACAAAACAAGGGTGCCTTATGCCTAAAACGTCCTGACGTGCCTGAAAACTGGACCTCCAAAAGCCCATCCGGCTCTTGTAAAGAAAACGGCATTCTTGTATTCAGTGAATACTCTGCTGTCAAATTACTTCCTGGAATGACTTTTTCATAAAATCAGCTTGAGTCACTGGTAATTCTTGCTTTGGAAAAGCATATCCTGTGTGGTTAACAAATGGGTATGGCGAACACACACCAAAAGCCAAAGGTGAAAGGTTAGTAGACACCACTTACGACTTCAGTCAAATACGAATGGGTGAAGGATTCAAAGTCCTGTTCCTAAAATCGAGGCATGCTAATGCTGATAGCAAGTCAAGGATTTCAATGACCGTGTAATTTATTGGATAGTTTAAAAACTACCTGTGTGTGGTGAGAGGATTGTTCAGCTTCCCTCTCAGTAAGCTTAGTGGGTTATTAGGTGACTGTGTCTCTGGACTTGGATGGAAGAAAATGGACCCTTTTCCCCATGTGGAACTAACACACATAAGCCTTGTCCGTACAGGGTATTTATGAAGTCCTCGAGTAGTTTACCATTAAAGTTTAACTTTTGAACTTTAATAATTTAGGTGGCAGCCATGGAAAAAGTAACCTGTGTGCATAACTTAAGGGAAATTGAAGTTTTCTTTTCCCCAGTTGATCTTATCTATAACAGTCATTTCTAGTTGTCCTAGAACTCAAACTAAAACCACAATCCATATTTCTAGGCAATAAAAATCATACACCATATTTCTAGGCAGTGATATTTGTGCTAAACTTGACTCTTTGCAGGTCATTTCTATTATGCTAGTATGTTTTTAAATGATAAAAATTAGAACTTTATGAGCAAAACATTTATTCAGAAAATAAGTATCTCATCATTTCTGATAATTACCAAACCCAAGTGAATGTTAATTTGATGATATATACATGTGAACTGATGGTTTTGACACAGGCCACGTCTTTGGTAAGTCGATAGAGTTTGGGAGGCAGTGACACAGTATAATGGTGAAGACAAAAAAAAGACTCCGCAGCCAAACTGCCCATGTTGGAACCTCAGCTCTGCCACGTACTAGCTGTGTGATCTTGGCTAAATGACTGAGCTTCCCTGTGCCTCCTTGTGCTCATCTATAAAATGGGATGATAGTTAAAACACCTACCTCACAGAGTTATCGCAAAGATTTTATGGGTCGAGCACTTACAATGTCATTGCTACCTAGCAAATTCCAAGTAGACATTTGTTGTCATGCATGTGGCTAGGAGCACTGGCTCTCGTGTCAGACATCCTGAGTTTAAATCCAGGCTCCACCAGCAGCTGGACGACCTTGGGCAGTGCCTTCATTTCTTCATCGGAAAATGGGGATGATGACAGATACGAGGACTAGCTGAAGTGATGGAGGCACTAACTGCTTAGAAGAATGCCTCGCCCATTGTCAGTGCCGAGTAAATATGAGCAACGGGTATTAAAACCACACTTAGAGAGACTACATTATATTCATGTCTCTTCAATATCAACTGAACAATGATACCAAGTGAAAAATGTTACATCCTGTTTCACAAGCTTGAAGAATAACTTAAGGCCACATATTTTTAGTAGCAAGATGACTCCAAACCTCTATCCTGAATATTATATGAATAGTAGAGGCCTGATGCATGAAATGCGTGCAAGGGTAGGCCCTCGCAGCC